CGTTTGACGAAAAATATATTTTTGATAATATTCAGTAAACAGTTAAACCTAGTGTAAAACTACTAGGCATAAATATTTATTACTACCTAATGAACATTTTTTTCACTAAAAATTTTTCAGATAAACGAAACTCTTGAACTTTGAAAATAATAATTTGACATTGCAAGAAAAAAAATAATATATAATTTTATTTTATTTATATGAATCTTATATAATTAATATAAATATTATACACTAAATAAATATTAATATTTATTTACCAATTGATATCTTAATAATAATAATAATAATAATAATAATAATAATACTTAATATTAATAATACTTAATAATTATACTTAATAATTAATAATAATAACAATAATTTTTAAATAGTATAAAAAATTACTAAAAATTATCAGAAATAATATTTTAATATTAAATAATTTATAAATACCCACATAGCACAACTTTTCACTGTAAGGTTACCTGAGACGACATCTGTAGGGCTTGTAAGGTTATCAAGTAAGAGTGTGGTAAACACGATGAAGTCTAAAAACTTCCGCCTTACTGTAGCCTTACACATGAAAGTCACTGTAAGCTTACACGGTAAGGTCATTGTAAGCTTACACAGTAAAGTTACTGTAGGGTTACACGGTAAGGCCACTGTAAGCTTACACGTAAGGTTATGGTAAGGTTATACTGTAAGGCTGTGGTAAGGTTATTATTAAGTTGTAATGTTGAGGTAAGGTTGTGGTAAGTTTACAAATTATAGAAAATATTAACAAAATAATTAATAATCTAATTAAAAAATAAATATTAAAAAAAATTAAGTTTGTTGCTTTTCTAAATTTTGGAAACCTAACATGAAACAGAAAATTTTGGAAACAAATTTGGGGGCACTAGGACTCGAACCCGGGATCGACGCGCATAAACCTAACACTCTAACTAACTGAGCTAAGTGGGGAACTGAGGAAGAGAAAATCAATTTTGCTTTTAAGGTGCACTAAGAAGAGAGCTAACTCCTTAAAAGCAAAATTGATTTTCTCTTCCTCAGTTCCCCACTTAGCTCAGTTAGTTAGAGTGTAAGCTTACAGTGGCCTTACCGTGTAACCCTACAGTAACTTTACTGTGTAAGCTTACAATGACCTTACCGTGTAAGCTTACAGTGACTTTACTGTGTAAGCTTACAGTGACTTTCATGTGTAAGGCTACAGTAAGGCGGAAGTTTTTATACTTCATCGTGTTTACCACACTCTTACTTGATAACCTTACAAGCCCTACAGATGTCGTCTCAGGTAACCTTACAGTGAAAAGTTGTGCTATGTGGGTATTTATATCTAATATACCAATATTACCACTTACCAAAGTGCACACGGTAATAAATAAACTATCAAGATTGATTCAAGCTTGAATAAAGGCTGGATGTTGAAGCTCCACTCACGAAGATTGACCGAATGTTAAATCGAGCATGGGACGAACATTGGTGTCCCATGCTGAACCAATATTGAGTGACAATGATAATAAAGACTGCTTCAACTCTGGGTTACCCACGCTGGGCGTTCAAGACTCAGTCAAGTTTCAACCCATCGTCAGCACTGGTCTTTCGCGCCTGGGATGGCTATGGAAAAAAATTTCGGTTATCCGCATATATCCCTTTCCAATGTAGCACGTAACATTACATTAATATTACCCGGTATAATTACTGTAATATTATGGTCATATGAACGGTCAGCAGCAGCCTATCGAAAGTCTGCTGCTGACCCAAAGGTCTCTCAGTGTAGTAGTATTATTCAAGCCAATTTATAACCAAATCCCATTCGATCAAAAAAATCTTGATCGATTTGACGCGGACTCCACCAACTTACAATATAGGTTTTATTTAGGTTTTAGCAATTAGACCTTAGGGTCTAATTGCGATACAATTAGTTGCAATTACAGGCAAACCTCTCCACGGCGGAAACTCGCCAGGTAGAAGTAGAAGAATTATATCAGTGAGAGTTGTGACTGTGTGAGTGCCTTGAAATTCAGGGCCGAAAAGTTCCGAATTGTAATTTTTATACAGATGTTTTTTTATTTAAATTATTTAATTTATATTTGATTTATAACTTTTGTTTATTTTGTGATATATTTTATATATTATAAAAAATGGTAATAAGTAGGAAAAATAATCAAAGTAACTTTTTAAAAAATTATTATATTTAAAATTCATCGCAAAAATTAAATTATTTTTTATAAATAATAAAATTCTCCTGAAGAATTCAATTATTTTCAATACAATTTTAATAAACTTTAAAAATAAAATATTTTAGATTATTAACAGATACGATTATTTTAAAAGTTTAACTCCAAAAACTAGTGAAAATTTAGGATTAATTTTTAATACTTTAATTGAAGTATTATACAAACGCATAATTACAATTTGACAAATACTGTTCTCCTCTGAATTTGAATTAGATAAAAATAACTAATTTTATAGTAAAAAGATAGTCACTGATTTAAAACTAATGATTTTACTAATCAAATTAAATTCCCGGCTATTTCCCGGTTGGTAGAAACCCTGTTAAATGTAATAGTAGAAACTAAAACTTGTAGAAGACAGGTAAGACAGCTAGTAAGGATATAAAATTGTAAATTAATAAATAGTTATAGTTTATTATGTGGACAGCTGTGCAGTCGAAACGTTAAATGAAAGTTTTTATTTAATAATTTTGTTGTAGAAAATATGATGCCTAAAAGGAATGATTCCACTTGAAACAAGTTGAAATTGTAAACATGATATTATAAGAAGATTATCATTAATGAAACTCAATGTTTAAGAGATAGTATTTATTCATAGGTCAAATTTGTATATAAAGATAAGTTCATTCTTAAAGTCAAAGATAAAATATTACTTTATTACTATTTACCGCACAAATTCAGAATAATAATGTTTGCTTTTTATTAAAAATAATTTTCTTAATAATTTTATAATAAAAAAGACCAAAATACTGTTACTTGGTTTTCTTTTAATATTTTCCTGGTATAGTTTTGAGCTTTTGCAGGTTCTTATCAATACAATAATAAAGTTCGTACAAATGGTATCAAAAATTCGGGAAAGAACTTGATTTGAAAAATCTTTTATTGGTATCAAATAATTTTTTAATACCTACTAATACAAGGTAATGGCTGATAAAATATTTTTTAAATGACAGTTATTTCTGAAATCTTTTCATAGTTTTGTTACCATTAACAAACTACATTTTTATCTTGATATGGAACTACAGAAAATCGAAACTAAAATATGAAGCAATTTACCGTATTTTTTTCGTTTTTAATATAGAATTACCAAAATGATTATTAAAAAATGTTTTAAAGGCGTCTCTTTTTACCGTTTTTGGGCTTCTTTAGAATATACTTTAAATATTTTTTATGATATACATTTTCTAAAATAAAATAAATTTTAATTAATTCAAATAGCACATTTAATCTCTATATTAGGTCAATATTTTATGTCAATATTAAGACGATATTGCCCCAACAATGATAAAGTCCACCTTGTGGCAATATAGCTGGTCAATGTTGACACAATATTGAAATATTAAGTCAACTTTACCTCACATTATTATACACTCAATAAAATTCCTTGGGCCCGTTTAGAAGTAATCAACTATTCTTTGTAAGTAAAGGTGCCAACTAGAAACTTGATTAATAAATGACAAGGATATTGGTGACAAGATGGTTAACTCTATTATTGACAAACTTATTCACATTGTGAACCTATAGCCTAATTTTTTTCTGTCTAGTGCCCATTTTTATTTCAAATGTGAATGCTTGTTATTTTAACTACATATTTGTTTCTAACAAGTTTACTTTATTATACGGTTACGTTTGCACATATTGATAATTCAACCATGAATCCTTGTCATTTCAACAAAATCAGTCATATAATATTTTTAATACTGTCTAAACTTTTTTAATTTAAAAATGAAAAAAATATTATTTTACGTCAAAAATATATCTATTGACAAGTAAAAGATATTAATATTGTCCTGCCATGAAAATTTTTTTTTCCTTAGAACGAAGCTTTGTATTGATGATTATTTTTCTATTTTCCAAAAAATGCTATATGATTCTATCTAGAATGCATAAATATGAAGTTGTAATTAAATGTTTAGATGTATGTGTGTTTGTCAAAAAATGTTGTGTACAAATTATTTCAGACGAATTAGTTAACCTATAAAAAGTTTATATTTGGCTTAAATCTGTAATTAGATAATTTTTTTAATAAAAAAATCGTATTTCGCATTTTTTGAAATAATTTTTTCTGTGTAGAAATTTTATTTTTTTTGTTAAAATATAATTATTACAAGAATTACAATAAATAAATTATTACAACAATAAAAAAACATGTAACTAACTTAAGTCAAATTAGAATAAAAAATGAATCGAAAAGAAGAAAACATTGAAAACTCACCAATAATATATCCGATTCAAATCTAACTATAGCAAAGTTAAAAATACAATTGTTAATTACACCGATAACATAATTAGAAATAACAAGCTTACTTTATTTTTAGTCATTTTTTCTATTAATTGGTGTTACAAAATATTACGGAATTCATTTATCTTGAGTGAGTATTAAGAAATTCAGAAAATAAACTTATTTTAGAAAAAAGAAATTTTAATTAAAGATGCATTTAAAGTTTATAAAAGTGGTGTTAGTTTGAAGACCATGTAAGAAAAGTTTCGTTCTTCCGATTAGTATAAAGCAATATTATGACAAAGTATATAATAACACTTATTTGGTGGATTATTATTTATAATTCCATTAATTTGGTACATTTAGGAAAAAAATATTTTTATTTAAAGAGGTCAGATTATTTTACTATTTTGACACAATTAAAAAGTTATAGAAAATAAATTATAATTATAATTATAGCCGTTCTGAAAATAAATATTGGTCAGTGGAAATACGAATATATTCTAACGATATCTCAGGAATTTTCAAAAACATTAGCAATACATTTTCTGTATACTCACATGTTAGCAATACCGGCTTTTCTTACAGCTGAGCTGATAGCTTTCACAGCTGTTTGAATGCTATTTAACAATTGTGAAAGATCACCAGTTGCAGTTGGAACTTTTCGCTGTTCAGCAAGAACAAAGCGAGTTAAAGTCATACAATTAGAATCAAAGGAACTATTCGACTCCATTTCTGTAGAATTAATAAACACTCGTCTAAATAAAATCACTATAAATTATTATGTATTGCCTTCGTAACTGTCTCAAACACACTGTAACATACATTTGTTCAAAGCAAGCAACCAACCTCAATACGTGGTCAGATATAATATAGTGTAAGAAGGAGACAATCTTTCAGGCCTGTTTTCAGAATGGATTGACATTGACACAGACTCGACGCATACCATGATATATGAAGACTATGTCTTATATTTAGATATTTCTTGTCTTCGTCTAAGGTATAATATAAGGTATAATATGAAACCGGCCTAATATCGTCCATCAAACACAGACGTTACATGGTCTTTTTGCATCCCACCTAAGCAAAAATTCTTGTCTTATGTCAATATTGTCAACCGGCGCAGTATTACTTGCCCGTACTTGTCCAGTTCTAGTAATAAAAAATTCTTTACCCAAAGCAGAACGTAAAATTATCTTCCCACATAGCACAACATCGGAGCTCAAAATTGCGTCAATATTTCACGGCAATAGTGCCAACCTTGCCCTGCAATGTTTAGGCAATGTTGCCTCAATATTTATTACGTCCGCCCTGTGGTAACATTAACTGGCAACATTGACGCAATATTGTTAGGAAATATTGCGTCAATGTTACTTGGCAATATTGGGGCCTTTAATTTTTTTAATTCGTCAGCACGAATTCAATGCATGCTTTCTACCAAAAATCTTAATTCATTTCAATCCGTTTGAATTAGTTTTTTTACTGGGATGGGCTCTTCCCGTGCAGAAATTGACCTACTTGACGCCTAAACCTGATCAGGGCCAGACATGGCAACTCTGGTCAGGCCCACATCAGGAAAAACTTAGGGCTCAGATCAGGGCCACGTAGGATTTAAATTTTGAATTTATATCTTTCGAAGATAAAAATACATGAAATAAATATTTCTTATAATTTATCTTACATAGATCGACAACGACCATTTTTAATGAAAAAACCTCATTCTTGATTTTCAAAATTATGTTTCACTATTTTTAAAAACATTGCTCTACATTAATTATGTAATTTATTATTAAATATTTCAATTATTTATTTGTAATAATAAATTAATATACTTAAATCTGTACACATAGTAACAAAACAATAATGACAAGAAGAATAATAATAATGATAAACTAATAATAATAACAATAAATAAAGAGTTTAAATTAGGGGAGACTAGGGCTAAATGTTAAATTTTGCAAAAACATTTTTTTCTTGTCAATAAATCCGCTTAGATGCAAATAATATGTATAGTTCAATATTGTAGAGTAACTTGTCCTCAACAACTTTCAATAAAAAAGTTTCTAATATTTTCGAGTAAAATACATGTTTTGTCCTTTTTTGAAAATTTTGTTTTTTTTAACTTTTCGCCCCATGCTGGGACTAAATATTAAATTCTATTTCTAGCCTACTAAAACTACCTTCTGATAGGTGTTAAGTAGTAGGTAAGTTAAAGTATACCTAAAACAAGTAATTTATAATTTGTAAATATTAATTTATAAACATCTGTGTCCTAGAACAGTTATAGAGTTAATAAATTAAAATTTGAAAATAAAAACAAAATTTTGATTTATTTCACGTGAGTGGTTTTCTTTTTTTACCAAGTAGTTGCCTAATGTCAAATAAATAATTTTTAAACATAAAAACACAAAAAATTTTAAAAAACATGGAAAAAATGCACTTAACATTTAGCCCCAGGGTGCGTTTTTAGCTTTAACAACAAATATACAAAATCTGACTAAACATATTTAGCAAATTCCTTAAGGTACTTCTTCAGGAGAACAAAAAAAGTACCCAAATAAATTGTGATAAGAATAAATTCAAAAAATATACTTAAAAGTTGGAACTTTCTTTCACGTCAAAATTTACAAATCTTCGGTCAAAACACAAATGTGTTATGGACACCACAAAAATAAACAGAATGTCACTCAACTACGGACATTTATTTAGAGTGGTAAGACCCTTCTATAGTCAAAATTGCAATGCTCTAACTATTTTCGTTCAAAAGATAATGAATTTTAACTGTTTTGAGAGTTTAACATTTAGCCCCAGTCTCCCCTGTTTATAACAAAATTTTGTAAAAATATGCAGAATATTCTCGAGAATATTTTAGTGAAATTGGACTATTTTTACCATCAAAATAAAATAAAATTTTCAAAAGTATTAATTAATTTAATTACATAAATTAATGTAAATATCCTTGCAAAAAAAAGTATAACCAACCTGATCAGTGGGATCCAGATGTGGCCCTGATAAGGCCCTGATGTGGTTTTTTTTAATATTTATGTCTAAAATTATTTATTATTTTAATAATGGAAAAAATTTTAATTTTAAAATAATAATAGCAAATTGTTTGTTTTTAAATATTATTTTAAATAATACAAAATTATTATTTAAACTCATATTTAAAAACAAATATTTTTTTGTTATTAAAATCTATAGGTAATAATTTTATATTATTTAAAATAATATTTTTAAATAAAAACAAACAATTTTTTGTTATTAAAATGTATAAATAAGTTTTTAATGCGTGAGAAACAAGTATTAAAAAGATCCACATCAGGGCCTTATCAGGGCCACAACGGGGCCCCACTAATCAGGTTGGCTATACTTTTTTCTGCAAGGGTATTTACATTAATTTATGTAATTAAATGAATTAATACTTTTAAAAATTTTATTTTATTTTAATGGCAAAAATAATCCAATTTTAATAAGATATACTTCATATTTTCAGAAAATTTTTTTATAAATAATTTAAAATCACAATATTTTGTTATTATTATTAAAATTATTAAGTGTATAGCTTTAAATGTATTAATTTATTATTAAATAATACAGTCCCAACATTCAAATGGTAGTTTGAGTCGAATAACTCCCAAGCTTGCGTGGCTGTGCGGTTAGTGTATTCCACTTGCGTCCTCGAGGTCTAGGGTTCGATTCCCAGTGCGTGCGATATTTTTCCGTCTTAGTTTTAACTGTTTTTGTGTACAATGTATGTTAATAATGTAAAGCGAAATGTAGATTTAAGGAATAATAATAATTTATTAATTATAGTAATAGTAATAAATTAATCAAAAACTTGGTTTGTTAAAATTAGTAAAAAAAAGTTGAATAAACTCAAAAAGTATTTTTTTAAATAAATACAAGAAGAATAAATACAGAATAATTATTATTTGTAATGTTTTAACAAATAAATTAATTCCTAATTAATTATTACTTATTAATTAATAATTCATTTTTATTATTATTTATAATAGGTTTTAATAGTTTTTCTATTAATAGTAGCTAGGTTTAATTATTGTAGTTTAAATTTTCATAGTAGGTTTGTTTAAAATTAATAAATATTTAAACTAATATTTAAAAGAAAACATTTTTCTGTTATTAAAATGCATAAATAATTTGATACTTTTAGAAATGAATATTTAAAAAAATCAAATCAGGGCCACATCAGGGCCCTACTAGGGAGCATCCTATCTCCCCTGATGTTATGTGAAGTGCACTATTTTGATAATAACTTGTGTAAAAAAGTTAAACTTTTTTTAAAAATCATACTCTTTTAAAGTTTAATACTTTTGGAATAATTTAAAAAAATAATTGAGTAAACCGACTGTCCCGATTTTTAGAAATAACATTAAAACTGACTAAAATTACAGATTTTCTAGCCTCTCTAATATATAATACACAGAAACGTGGCAACGTCGCAAGGTAATCACATACGAATGAAATCTTATTCAGTGTTACTAACACTGTTTCTAGCATGCGCATGGAATGCGCTGTTGTCACGATCTCCATGCTCATAAAATTTTTTTACGAAATTTTTTTTACGTAATTAAATAATTATTTTTTAAAATATTTTTTGAGAATAAATGAATTGGAATTATTAAAAATACTATTTTTTATGTCTAATATATTAAGTATTGCATATTTCACTTATAAAATATATATTAAAACAGTTGGTATTTGCAGTTTTAATCCCATATAAAAGCATGTGAATTCCCCTCTCGCCGCCTGCCCCGAAAAGACAGTCACCATCCTCCTTAATATTACATGCTAATGTGAAGATACACGGATCTGTATTAATTTTTCGTATTATTACTTATAATATTACAATTCCTTACTAAGTATTCTAATTTCTGTTACTTCAGAATAATAGAAAGTAATAATATGATTATAAACTTTCTTAAAAATAATTGAAGGTTATTTGTTGTGGCCTTTGGTCAAAAAATGAGAAAATGTATATATTATGTCAGAAAATTTAATTTTGTCTCCAAAATACTTCCACTATGCATTTCACCATGAACATGGATCTTCAGGTCTACAATAGTACTTTTCGTATAAAGTTAACGAATATCCTAAAGAAAAATACAACTCTTAGTAATTTCTATAAGAGAAGATGAAAATAACTGTAATAATTTTTGGAATTCTGTATACTTTCATATTTAAATACTCAATTTTTAAAATAAATATACTAATTTTTATTCTTTAAATATTGAACAATGATAAATTTACAATATATTTTCTTAAATACTGAAATAATAATTTAAAAACTGACACATTTTCCCTAAATTGATACATTTTATTTTAAATGTTCAATATTTAAAGAATAAAAATTAGTATATTTATTTTAAAAATTGAGTATTTAAATATGAAAGTATACAGAATTCCAAAAATTATTACAGTTATTTTCATCTCCTCTTATAGAAATTACTAAGAGTTGTATTTTTCTTTAGGATATTCGTTAACTTTATACGAAAAGTATGGCGGACTTCCATTTGATTCCATTCATGTATACTACTTGGACACCTCTTGACAAAAAGATTTCTACATCGACTCAGTAATTGACCCATATGAAATTATACTATTTATGTAGGTTTTCATATCTCAGGAGATTTTGGTTATAAAGATATTTAAGGTAAATCGCTTTCCACAAGTGGCGTAAAATTTCGATAGTTCATACACTACCGTCCAAAAGTATCAGGACGATTACTTTCGACTCTGAAAAAACATGCCATCACTT